CTATAGATTATTGTTTGCAGCTGTATTTTTACTAACACGTTGACATATTCTCGTTTTGATTTAAACGTTGCAGTTGAATATAACTGAACAGACTGGTTAGCAAGTCCCCTTGTCAAAGTTTCCTATCACTGCGGGGATTTGGCACTTTGTTAGCAAAATAATCAAGAGGAATCACCTAGAAACTTTGACAGGGGGATTTTTGTGGATACAGCAATTGATAGCATTTTAAATGTCAGATCATATTCCAGTCACATTAATGTTATTATACACCGCAATCACAGTTAATAAACTTTACCTTGTATATATAGTACATGTGTGCAGATATAGGTTAACAACTCTAACTCTTCCACTCTTAGCACCTCAACCACGTAAACTATAAATATCTCATGTGTCATATGGGTATTACAGTGTATAAAACGCATAAAGTGTGTGCAAGTAATTCCAGTATTAATTTTTGTTCTTTTTACACTATTTTATTGTATTTTTTTAGATTGTGATCCGACGTCTCCCTCCAAGTCTAACTAAAGAAGATTTAGTGGAGCAACTGCAGCCTCTTCCAGAGCTGGATTACCTGGAGTTTTTCTCGAGTGATACTAGGTTTGTAGCATTCTTATAAAAGAAAACGGAAGACTGAAACATAATGAAAGGTATCTGATGGCTGATCGAGATGTTTGTTTATTTGCAGTCTTTTCCCTCATCTGTTTGCAAGAGCGTATCTGAATTTCAAAAATCAAGATGACGTAGTTCTCTTCAGTGACCGGTTTGATGGCTATGTCTTCATTGATAATCGAGGTTTGATTTTTGTGTGCCATTTATCATTTCCAGGATTCAGTGTTTACTTGCTAATCAGTGGTTTTAGGAGTCAGCATTTTGTGCCTTAAATCTCATAGAGTCTTCAGACTGAGATGGTTTGTGTGCTGGTAAATTTCTGGTGAACTTCTCTAACAGTGAGAACTGTTTTATCTTCTTTTTTCCACATTAGGTCAAGAATATCCAGCAATTGTTGAGTTTGCACCATTCCAGAAAACTGCTAAGAAAAGGAGCAAGAAGAAGGATGCCAAAAGTGGAACAATTGAAGATGGTGATATATATATATATATATA